AGGCAGACCCAGGAGCAGCGGGTTCCTCCCGCAGGACCCCCGGCGCTCACCACGGTGACGTTGAAGACGTAGAGCAGGTCGAAGGGCAGGGCGGCGATCAGGTCGACGAAGAACCAGGTGGCCACGTAGTGGATGCAGATGGAGCGGGGCTCGTACACCACCTGGCCCGAGTGGCTCACGTACGTCGTCCGGAAATTCAGGGCGATATCTGCCCCGGGGAGAGCAAAACAGCCCTGAGCACCCCGCTATGGCCAGGGCAGCCGGGCTGGGGGGGACGGGGACTGACCCTGGTCCCATCCGGGAGCATCCTCGTGCCCCCATGGGTGCTCAGCCCCGTGCTGAGCATCCCTACCCAGGATGAAGAGCATCTCCACCGCGATGTCACTGACGATGGTGCTGCGGGCGGCCGAGGGGCTGTCCTCCGTGCCAGTGAAGCAGACGTTGTAGGGGACGGTGACGGCCACGTAGAAGGTGGCCAGGAGGATCAGCCAGTCCCACAGGGCCTTGAAGATGCTGCAGTGGAGCAGGATGAAGCGGGCCTTCTGCACCGAGGCCACTTTGTACTCGGGGACGGACGGCTTGCTCTCAAACACGTTCTGGGGGAGAAAACGGCGGCGGTGGCACGGGGACGGCCCCGCGCTGCAGCCCCCATCCCCCCGGTTCCTGCGGGCCCGGGGTGCCCCCAGCTGACCGCCCCGATGCCACGGTGCAGGCTGCACGGAGGTCACCCACAAAGGCAGGCACAGAGCACCCACCTACAGCCCATTAATTAATTAATGTCGTGCTAATGCCATTAGCAGGAATCCACCGGCAGCACCAGCAGCTGCCCAGAACGGTCTCAGGTGCAGATGAGGTGGGGGCAGAACCCACCAGCACCCTCTGCATGGGCAGCAATAGCTTTGGTGCCCTCCCAACCCTGTCCTCTGTGGCTCAGCGTCTCCTGACCGTGCCAAAGGGACCCTGTGCCAGAGCCCCACAGCCCCAGGAGAGGCTGGAACGGGGATGGTGCCGTGGGGACACCGCTGCTCCTGGTAACAGCATTCCCCTGGGGCAAGTATGGCCCTGCAGGAGCCTGAGCAGCTGGGTTTCAAGACAAATGATCCATGAAAAGAGGAGGAGCTGGCAAAAGCTGCCAAAAGCTCTGCGTGTCCCACGGCACCGTCAGGACCTGCTGCAGCCTCAGGGCCGAGGGCGTTTCGGTGCCTCGGGGGGCAGCAGGATGCATGGCACGGGGAGAGCCTCCTGGGGGGAGCAGGCTGTTCTCGCAGCCCCAGCTCCTTACCCGGTTGATTTTCATCTCGCTGCGGTCGCGCCGGGCGAACTGGGTGCTGAGCCGGTGCAGCACCGTGCGGCCCTGCCGCCGTGCCGCCCGCAGGTGCGAGCTCCTGGGCTTCTTGCTCCTCTGCTTCTCTGCAACGATGAGACATTGTCCTGGAGCAACAGAGGGGAGCTGGGGACCCCTCCTCGAGTGGGTGGCACCACCGAGCCGGGACACAAAACCAGGCTGGGGCTGGGAACCCCTTCTCCATGTGCCCCCTGCTGCTGATGCTCCCTGCTCCCCGTCCCCATCCCACAGCCACGGCTCACCCTCCTTCTTGTCTCCTGGGTGGCTCTTGCCCCGGCTCTCCGTGATATCCTTGAAGGAGAAGAGGAAGAGCACCACCTCCCCCTTCTCGTTCCTGATGGGCATGATGTCCAGCAGGCACCAGAACGCCGCTCCTGGGCGGGGGAGAGGAGAGGAGAGGGAAGGCAGGAGAGCCCCTGCGCTGCCCGGCACGGGGCTGAACCCCACCAGGAGCCCCCCACAGGTCCCCAGCACCACTCACCACCCTTCTTGTAGAAGCAGACCTCGGTCTGGCACTCCTGCTTGCTCTCCAGCACCTTCTCGACGCGCTGCAGGACGGCCTCGCTGGTGTCAGCCCCGCAGAGGAAGCGGCAGCTGCACTTCTGCTGCATCACCTCGGTGCGGGCGAAGCCGGTCAGCTCGCAGAAACCGTCGGAGCAGTAGACGATGGGGAAGCCGCGGCGGAGCTGAGCGTTGGCCAGGATGAAGTTGCTGTCTGAAAGGAGACACGGCGACCCCTGAGGGCTCGGGGCTGCACGCATGGCCCCTGCAGCCCAAGGGGGAACACAGAAATACCCACCCCGTCCGTGGGGAAAGAGGAGCCGGGTCTCCATCCTGCCTGCAGACCCTGCTCCATCTGTACCAGGGGACCCACGGCCACCGGGGAGGCTTGCCCCGTGCCCCCCTGCTCACCCTGTGGGCTAGCAGAGCTTTGGAGGACCGTGCCCCATGCTGTGAACTGGAGCTGATCCCTTATCTAAGCCAGGGCAAGAGGTGCAGGGGAAACGCAGCACCCTTGTGTCACAGCACCCCAGAGCTTGCTGCCTCCCTGGAGGCATCACCCAGGAAAGCTTTTGCCAGCCCTGGGCCAGGCGGGGGTTCTGCCAGCTGGGCAGATGGTTTTGTGCTTTAGCCCCAGGAAGGGTGTGCAAGGGTGGCAAGGAAGCGGGGATGCCAGGACCCCGCAGCCTGGGCTGGGAGCTGCACACAGCCCTGGTGCGATGGGAGGCACAGCTCAACCCAGGATTAGCTTGGAGAAGCAAAAATAGCTGGGAGCTGTGACTAAGGCCAGATTTTGGCTCTGGGGAGCCAGGATTACCGCGGTGTCCAGGGTGTGGTATTAGAAAAAGGAGGGAAATAAAAAAATAAAAAGAAAAAAATAAAAGAAAAGGGGCTGGCATGGCTTGCATTTGGGATTGGCTTTGTGGTGAAGGGGGGCACAGCCCCCGCATCAGCAGCCAGCTCCCCTGGATGAGGAGCCCAGCGGCTGCGTGGGAGAGGCAGGGTTAATTCTCACCACGTATCGCCGTGGCTAAAGCCCCTCTCCATGGCAGATAAAGCCGATAAGAGAGGCATCAAACCCGCAAAGCCGGCCGCTATTTAAAAGTGCCCGTCGGAAGCAGGGTGCCGTCAGGATGCAGGATGAAAGCAGGATGCTCTCAGCCACCCTGGGTGTAACCCCCTGGTGTCGGCACACGCCAGGCTCCAAGCATCATCTTCATCCCTCCCAGCACCGCAAGGGACCCAGGTGATTTGGGGAAGCCCAGGTGAATTTGGGGAGGCGTGAGGTCAGCGCCGAACACGACCCTGTCCCCGGGTGGCTGTGTGGTGCTGCCGGAAGCTGGCACGTGGCACCCCCACATAATCCCCTCTCCAACGTGCCAGGGCTTTAATCCCTGCTGGCCCCAGCACGGGGGCACGGACACGGGGAGGAGCCCAGCCCCCAGGGATGCTCCAGCACCTCCAGCTGTGGGAATTGTCCCCAAAACCAGCACCGTTGGGCCCCTGCCCCAGCACACAGCTACCAGTGCCCACCTTTTCCAGGGTTGTAGCTCCAAGCAAACAGGACGCTTTGCTCCCTCGGGGTGGGCAGGGCCCTGCTCAGCACCTGAGCTCCAGCAGCAAGGAACCGGTGCCCAGCACGGAGGTGGCTGGGGCAACCCTGGGGTCCCCAAGGGCCATGCTGGTGGCTGAAGCGCCGTGTGCCGGAGTGTGGCACGCGCTGTGCCACCGAGCCATCCCCTGGCACCGGGACCCAGCTCCGGGGGCTGCTCAGGGCAGCACCCAGCCCCTCGCTCCCCTCCCCGGGCTGCTCCAGGCCCGGTGCTGACCGTGCTGGGGGTGCCCGGGTGGGGTCTCTCCCCCCGGGGACCCCCGTGCGCCCCGGACCCCTCCCGGTGCGCACGGTGCCGCCGGCCGCGCCTCTGTCCCTGGTGCTGAGCGGGACCGGGACCCTCCAGAAGCACCGGCAGCGGGGCACGGGACCCTCCCGGTCACCTCGGGGGCTGCACGGCACCGGAGGACCGAGGCCGTCCGGGGGATGGAGAGCGCGGAGAGTCGCGTCCCGATGCGCCCCGGGGGGCTCCGGTGCCCCGGGCGCCCCCCGCCGCTTCCCAAGCTCCTGCCGCTGCCCGCGCCCACCCCCCCACCCCCGTCGCCGTCCCGGGGCGCAGCCCTACGTGTGCCATCGAAGCGGGTGGCGATGGTGTCCAGGAAGGTGTTCTGCGGAGCCAGCAACCCCTTCATCACCGGCATGGTCCCGCCGGGCCGCCCGCCCGGGGCTGCGCCTACGGGACCGGGCACCGCCGCCGCCGTCCCGGGGCCCCTCCGCGGGTTCGGCCCCAACGCCGCCGGTTAATCCCGGCTCGGCTCGGCCCGGCCCGGTCCAGCCCGCCCCGGGGCTCCCGCTCCGCCCCCCCCGCCCCGCCCCGGGCTCTGCGCGCCGCCGGCACCGGGAGGGGCTTCGGCACCGGCAGGCACCGGCAGCACCGGGAGCCGCTCGGTAGAGCCCTGCTCGGTCCCGGGAGGTACCGGGAACCGATGCACCGGGACCTCCTCGGTACCGGGAACTGATGCACCGGGACCTTCTCGGTACCAGCCCACTCGGCACCAGGGGACACCGGTCCCTGCTCGGTCCCGGGACCCGGTGCACCGGGACCTGCTCGGTCCAGGCTCTTTGGAAGGGGCAGGATCCGGCCCCCCCCTCCTTGGCACCGCAGCTCCGGGACGGTACCAGCAGCAGGACGCCAGCCCCGCTCCTGCCACTGCCCCCTGGAGAGCCCAGGGGCTGCAGCGCCTTGGCGACCCCCCCGAGGGGGGAAACCCAGTGGGGACAGCCCCCAGCCGGAGCCCTCCCCAGGACCCTGCTGGGGTTGGGGGAGCTGGGAGCGTGCAGGCACCCAAAGCATCCACCCCGCAGCCTGCCCCAGGCAGAGATGTGCCCCCGGCCCCCTCCCCAGAGACAAGGCAGAGCCGGGCAACCTCAGGCTACCATTTATTGGAAAAGGCCGGCGGTGCCTGCGGCGCCCTGAGCAGGCTTGGCCAGGGCCCCAAGGAGGTATTTAAAAGTGCTATTTACACCGAGCGCCGGGGCGTGCGTCCCCCCTCACCCCCAGGGATCCCCTCTCTGCCCCCGCAGCCCCCCCACCCACCCAGCTCAGTAAAAGCTCTTCGCAGCTCCCCGGCTCTTGGTCACCTCCTTCCCAGCGTGTCCCTGGCACTCCCTGGGGCTGGCAGCGGTGCCCCTCAGCGCCGGCGTGGGTTGAGCACCGGTGCCGGGGTGCTCCCCGCGCTTGCCCATGGTGAGGATGCCAGCGGCGTGGTTGCCGGAGCCGTGCAGCAGGCGGTAGAGGCGGCTCTGGAAGGCCGGTGGGACGCTCTTCCTCTTGCCCAACGTGAGGATGCCGGCGGCGTGGTTGCCCATGCCGTGCAGGAGGTCGTAGATGCGGCACGAGCAGGTTTTCTGCCGGCAGCACTCGGGCAGGTTCTGGCGAGCGGCGGCCAAGGAGCAGAGCAGGAGCAGGAGCAGGAGGCAGGCGGCTCTCTGGAGCTGCCAGGTAACGGCTGGCATCAGCGCAGGGCACCCACAGAGCCAGCCGGGGCTGCTGCTGTGCCCCCCCGGGCTGCCAGCACCCTGCTGGTGGCTCAGCTCCCCTCTGCCCCCCTCGCTGCGGGGGGCTCAGCCCGTTCCCGCAGCACCACCCTTCAGCGCCCCACGGCACGGCCATCACCGTGCCCTTGGGCACAGAGGGGACCCCAATGCTCCTCACTTCCCCACCCCAGCCCCCAAATCCACAGCCTCCAGCAGGATCCAGCCACGGGTATCTTCCCCGTGCCACTTACCCCTCTCCGGCACACAGCAGCCCCAGGAGCACCCTCCCCTCATCACCGAGAGCCACGGGATGAGCACCCACGCTTGGCTGACGCTGGAGCAGCGCACAGCACGCACCCAGCTCCCTCCCGAGGAGCCCGTGCAGGGTTGAGCCTCCCCCCAGCTGCTCCTCGTCAGGTTTGGGGAGCCCCCGGGAGCCTCAAGGAACTGGCCCAGCCCTTGTGCACCCCGAGACCCCAGCCCCACAGCGCCGGCCCCACCTTGGCGTTCGGCACCTCCATCCTTCCTGGCGTCTTCAGGTGGCCAAGCAGCACTGGGGCATGTCCTGCCAGGGCTGAGGAGCGCAGCTGCCCTGAGCCTGTGCACCCTACAGCGGGGCTTTATAGGGGCTGCCCCCCCCGGCCCCCAGCCCCCGGCACAATGGCGTTGCCAAAAATACCAGCGGGAGCAGCGGGGCTGGTGTCTGGGAGACGCGCACCCTTTGTGGCCGGTAGCTCGGAGACGGGCCAGGCCTTTCCCCTCATTTGTGGCTCTGCATTATGAGGGTGCAGCGCGGGGCTGGGGTGCGCGGTGCTAATGAGGCCGTAATTACCCGAGGGACCCGCGGCCGGGCCGGCACAAAGCGGCCTGAAGGTCAGCACCGGGGGAAGCGCCGACAACAGGTCCGGTCCTGGTGGCCCCAATTAGGCTAATTACCGCCCCGAACAAAGGGGTGCCAGGCAGCCGCGTGGCTCAGTGACGTGCGGGGCTGGTGCCCCCTGAACCCGGCTGGTGCCGGTGGAAGGACGTGGTCCCCATCCCACTGCCACCCCCCCGTCCTCCTCGGTGACCCCATCCCCAGCGTGGAGAGGGAGCGGAGGGCACGGCGTGGGTCTGGCACACTTTATAAACGCTCCGCAGCCCCGGTCCGACCCCAGACCAACCCCACACTCACCGCCCGCGCCTGGGGCGTGCTCGCCCTTGGGGACAAACCCAGGGCGATTTCCCTGATGCCATAGGACACGTCTGCTGGCAGCTCCGCTCTGCAGCGGCCCCTGCGAGCTGTTCCCCAGGTGCCTGCCCAGCCCCTCTGCACAGCTGGGGGGGCACGGGGACACCGGGGAGGGGAGGGGACCCCCTGGAAGCAAATCCTGCAGCCCTGAGATCAGGACCCCGCACCTGGGGCGGCTTTTTACAAGAGGGGGATCGGGCACAGCAGGCTGGGGGTGCATGCACACGGCCAGCAGGGTGCCAGCAGCCCCCACCGGCCCCAGCAGCACGGCGCCTGCTCTGGAAGCAGATGGGGAGATGGATGAGACCCCAGGAGCTTTGGGGGGGGGACAGGTGGGAGTAGGGACCCCCCCTCAACTCCCTGCCGTGCCCAGAGCTGGTCCCCAAGCGGGCACACCGCTGCGCCAACCCCGCTGCACCCCTGCCCATTTTCATCCCCAGTCCCAAAACGAGCCGCGGGCAGGCTGGGGCTCTCCGGTCCTGGTCCCTACAAGCAGGGGCTGCTCCATCGGGGTCCCCCCGTAGCCCCAGGCCGGGGGTCAGCAGGACGCCGGGGTCAGCAGGACGCCGTGTCGCCGCCTCCTTCTGCCTCGGGGATGGGCTCCAGCGGGGGGGCGCGCAGCCGGGAGGCCTCGGGCGAGGCTGAGCCGTTCCTGCCGATGCCGCAGGACTGCCCGGCGTTGTGGATCTGCCAGAGGTTGTCCAGCGCCTCCGCCTTGGCGTGCTTCAGGAGGTCGGCCTGGCCCTGCCACGGGGGAGAGGGCGTCAGGGGACGTGGCCACGGGCGCACAGGGTCCCCTCGTGCCACCTCCAGCCCCCGTTTGTGCCCCAAAGCCACGGGTCCACGAGGGGCAAAGGGAAATTGCTGGGTCCAGGCGCATCCCCCCGGTGCCGGTGCCCACGTTTTTGGCACAGGGGTGGTGAGGGATGGCGGTGGTGAGGGATGGCGGTGGTGATGGCCACGGTGCCGCCCCACCCTCACCTTCAGGACGGTGATGTTCCAGGCGAAGCTCTCCAGCGCCTTCTGCAGCTTCCGACCCCGCAGCCCCTCCTTGGCCTCGATGCGGTGCAGCTCCTTGTGGAAGTCCATGCCTGGGCACGGGGCACACGAGGGGGGGGGGACACGCTCAGGGTCACGGGGTACGGGGACAGCCACCACCCGCAGGGGATGGGGACCGGCTGCCTTTCTCCTGTGGCCTCCTGGCTTCCCCAGCTGGCCACCACGGGTGGTCTCAGCAGCCCCGAGCCCCCTCCATTTGGGGAATGGGGTCCCAGCACAGCCCCCCACCCTTAGCGGGTTTGGATCCCAGGGGACGTGGGGTCTGGACGTTCAGCGGTTACCCTGGGGGGCAGATGCACGGCTCCTGCGTGCCGCAGCCCACCTGGGGGGGCTCAGAGCGGGGACACCACCCCCCCCCTCACCCCGTGCCGTAGCGCAGGCCCCCGCGCCGTGCACCGCGTGATGTCCTCGTGAGCGGGTGCTATATTTACCCCTCCCTGACGCAGCACCGGCTCCCGGCCCACACGAGGGCTCCCACACACTCCTGCTCGCCCCCATGCTGTCAATCAGCTCGCCCCCACCCCGCACCCCCAGCCCTGCCACCAGCACCCCCAGATCCCCCCCCCGGTACCCAAAACCGTGCCGGCACCACCGAGGCTCATCCGCTAGCGCAGCCAGGGGGGTGAAAGCAGGGAGCAGCGCCCAGGAACTGGGGGTCAGGGTAGGCAGCCCCCCAACGTGGGGGGGTCGGCAGCAGCAGCAGCACACCCCAAAGACCCCTGCCCTCATGCAGGACAGGGGGCACGGGGGCAATGCCCACCCCCAGCAGCCCAACGGAGGGGCTCCCGTGGCCAAAGCGGTGCCGGCGGGCACAGAGCCCACCCGCAGCCCCCCCCAACCTCCCTCTCTGGCGCTCCCCCCCCAGTCGCTGGCAACGGCGGCGGAGCCGAAAGCCAAATGCTCGGCGAGGTTTCCGGGCTGCCGAGCCGCCAAGGAACAAACAGGGCTGCTGGCAGCGAGGCTGGCACCCGCTGGGGGTGGCAGAGCGGGGCCCCCTCCTTCCTCCCCGGCCCCTCCAGCTCCTGGCAGCTCTCCCAGCCCTGCGGGGTGCCCACAAAAAGCACGGGGGCCGGCAGAACCCCGTGCACCCTGCGAGCATCCAAGGATGCCCCTACAGCACACGGGGTCCCGGTGCACCTTACTGGGAGCACGGGGATGTGCTGGGAGAGGGGCTGGGGTCCTGGGCAGCTGCGGGTGCAGGGGACAGGATGGGACACGGGGAGGGGTGCAGGGGGGGGGGGGGGGACCGGGGCAGGCTGCCAGCAGCACCTGCCTGTGTGGGTTCAGCCATGTGTCTTTGAAGTCATAACATTCAGTTGCCACTTCTACCGTCAGCCCCAGTCTGTTATTTCTGATGCTAATTATATTCCGGCGTTTGGCAGCTAATGACTCTTCTCCGCTTCCTCATCAGCCTCCTCCGCTCCCCGCTCGCTCCCTCCCCGCCCTGCCCGCGCAGCCCCTGCAGCCCCCCATCCCCAGCAGCGCTCCCCCGGGGAGGGCTCCCTGCCCTCTCTCCTTGCAGCGCATCCAGGACATGGAAAATCACAAAAATGCCCCCCTCCCGATGGAAATCTCCCCCCACAGCAGCCGGGTGCTGACCTCCATCTGCAGCACGCACCCACCCGGGGCACCTCCACGTGCACCCCTTGCCCCCCGCCACGCACAGCAGCGTGCTTGGCGCTCCCCGTGCACGGATTCGGAGCCTGGTGCTGGATTGCTCCGATCCCTGCGGGGATACCCATCCCCAGGGGGCTCGGAGGCATGCCCCCCCCCCATTCCTGGCCACCCCTGGGATGTGTTCCAGCTCTGGGGTCACCCCCCAGCACCCACCTGCCTGCTGCGCCTGGATGAGCTTGCTGTGCACCGCAGTCGGCCGACTCGATCAGCGTCCGGCTGGTCTGGATCATCTGGGGACAAGAGGAGCAGTGCGAGGTGCTGAGCACCCCCCCAGCACCCCACATCCCACCCCACGCACCCTGCCTGTGGAGCAAATGGGGAGAAAAAAGGGGATGGGAAGGGGTTGGCTGGGGGTCCCCCTGGCACGGTGCAGCCAGGTGCGGAGCGGCCAGCGCCTGGCGGGCGGCCAGGTCCCCCTGCAACACAAAGGAAGGAAGTGGCTCTGGGCTTCGGCTCTTAATGGGATTCCTCCCCCCATGGGCGGCCCCGCAGGATGCCCCGCGAGCCAGATGGGGTCTGCGAGGTCCCAGGTTTGTGGGGTCCCAGGTCTGTGGGGTCCAGGTCTGCGGGGTCCCTCGGGGCATCTCCCAGCGGGTCCCCCCCTTGCCCTGCGATGGATCCAGTGACTTTGGGGGGACCCCATCCCGGGGCTGCCCCATGCGCACAGCTGTGGGTGAGGCAGGATGGTAGCTACTGGTGCTACTGGTGCTGCTGGTGCCTTCGGCCCCGTGGAGCATCCCCGTGCCGCTGCTTACCGTCTCGTAGGCAGTGAGGACCTTGCGCAGCAGGTCGGGGATGGGGCCCTGCGCCTCCATGGCGGGGTACTGCTCCGCCAGGTTGAGGGTGACGCTGGGCGCGCTGTCGCTGTGCAGCAGCCACGCCGCCACCGTCAGGATGCACTGCTTCATGTTGGCGGCGGGCGTCAGGCCACACAGCTCCTTGAAGGAGACCAAGGCGTTCTGCGGGCAGAAGACCGACGTTAAGGGATCGGGAGCACCCTCGGGAAGCCCTC